AACTAAGAAAATTTAAACTTAGGGTTCTCAAAATTAAATACATAGTGTCTTTCTTTCTAAATAGCTCCCAAAAATAACACTTTTGAGAAGACAATTAATAAGGCTGTTAATTTATTAGGCTGGCATCGAAATTGGGTTGTACCATTAGCTGTTCTAAGCTATGTTGCTGTATTGCTTTTGGAAATAGGAAGTGAAACGCGTAGCCATAGGAATCCAATCCGTCATAACTTTAACAGAAAACATAAAAGCCTTCGTTTTGAGTTATGATGTTCGTACAAGTTCTGTATAAATGTCTAGGGTCTTAAAAGAAGGACTTTGATAATTGAAACATTCATTAAAATCCATCTTTGTTCGAAATTAGTTGCTTGGGTTTACATTGTTGTCATAGGTAACTGTTCCACTAGCTTCTTTCGTATGCCTTCGTTACAGATAGTGAATGGTTCATCCATGCGGAACAAAGATTTGTGTCGGTGGATTTGAATTCTGAAGCAAATGCAACTTTAAGAGTTGGATGTAAAGCAATGGATATCATTTACAGTATAAGATGTGGCATCTGTAAGTGCGTCCGCTACTGATACTTTTACTTTAAGCTGAATGTTACAGCAAATGCAGGAATAAATCTTATAGCTGTCTAATGTAAAAACATTTCTAACAGAATTTCTTAAACGTAAGTGTAAAATCAAATGATTTTCCTGCTGTAATTGGACCACTAAACAATTTGTCCGTGTTCTCTGCATGTTCCCGAATGACTCCATACATCTTTCATGTCAGAGTCTATGAGAAAAACATCTACTTTTCTTTATTGTGTTCGGTAGTTGGTTGAGGTTTGAAGTTATATATGCTATCTCTCTTGTGCGTTGTCTCTGAGAATATACGATACGACAGTTTGCAAGTGATTTTGATATCCAGCAACTGCATAGAAGCCGTCATCGAAACCAATCCAAAAATCGCTGGTGGGTTTGTGTTTTATTGGAACCTGAAACCATTTCTTTATCTGCAATTAAAATTGACCTTCCATTTATTATACGTAAGAATGTATTGTAAAGGACTCAACATATTTTCACCAGGAGGTGAGAGATTGAATGACCCATGTGTTCATCTTTTAGCAGTCCAGGTTGTGATGCGAATCTTTGTCGTCAGAATATTTTCTATATTTGTCACACTATTTGCAACTGCGCACTTGTCTATTGATATCGAAATATCGAGCGGAATTCTGATGAATATGCCTTCTGCTGGGAGTAAATTCGTTTAACTGTTCGTTTCTGCATGTATTACTTCGGAAAAATATCTATTATACTTCATATTCCACTCTTCTTCTTGCCATTCGTGTGGAAGTTTGATTCTTGACATTTTCAATGAACGTGACTACATTCTCTTTTACTCAACTCTTTTACATTTCTGAGTGGGTGAAACAGAGTAAGCTTCTTTGACTCTCGTTTTATTTTCTAATGAAATGGCCAAAAAGCTTGGCACATAAGCTTCTTTGGTTCGTTATTGAAAGTAACAGTCTGGCTCTTTTCTTCTGTTCTAATTGACTTTTCAGTTTGAACTGAGAGGTTTTATAGGCTTCGGGGCTTCGCCGCTGTGCACATGCACCTTAATTGGTTCTGTCGTGCTCTGCATTCGGCTAGGAATCCTTTCTTCTTTCTTAGCTATATTTTACCATCTTTTACTCCTTGGATATGACTTATCAATAGAACTATGATTGTTGTATTTTCCTCTTGCGTCATTATAATATAATGATGACTTCTCGCTCTGATTTTGGACAAGCCCTCATGTTTACATCGGTTAAAGTTTTAAATTGTTTTATCTGCAGTCAAATGGACTTCAGATCAAGCCTACAGGACAAGGACCAGAGGGTCATCAGAGTGTTGAAGCATTGCAAGAAGAAGAATTCGCGACGCAAATTTATTATCCGAACTGAAGAACAAAAACAAGAACAAAAGCCAAAGAGGAGAAGAGGAAAAGCTTGAAAACTGTGTGAAGAAAACAAAACTTATGCGCTGCATTAGCTGACTTCGAGAGACAAAGAACCCACGTGTTGCTGGCGAAGAAGCTAGGAGGAAGAAGCTGAAGTGCAAAAGCCTAAAGAAGCTGAAAGCAAAGAGAAGAAGGTAACATCGCGTTTATTTTTATATCCGCCGAATTAGAATGTCTATAGACAAATACCTTTATCTGTTTGCGTCTGTCAGTAAGTTTGAAAACCCTGACGTTTCAAAATAAAGGGGCAACAGAGTGTAACGTTATAAGTTCCAGAACAGACTGGATTGTGAACATAAATGAAAAGAGGAAGTACATTGGCATTAACATCTATTGTACTATAAAAAACACTGCCTTTCAAAAAGGCTGTTTTACTTCTATATTTCAAAGTCGATGATTAGATAAAATTGGACACGAACAGTCTTATTAAGCAGTGCCCAAAACATCATCACAATATAAAATACTTTAAGAGACGATAAAACATGAGAATGGGTATGATTTCACTTTAATGAGTAGTTTCGAGAAAAGTAGCGTCATAACATTGAATACAAACTTTTACAGCCTTTACGTGAGTTTCTGCACAACTGAAAGGAAGAAGGTAGTCAAGCCACAAGCTTAATAGAACTTTCATTATGAATTTAATGAAAATGAAGATGGCAACTCAATGGACTTGTCAAGTTTCTATTATTCTCACCATTCAATGAAGTAGCAGAAAAGAAACGAAAATCCATGACGTATAGATATTTCAAATCTCTTGAGACCCAATGATTGATTTCAAGAATGTTTTCTAATTATGATGCACATGCTTCGAGAAAAATGATATTTCAAAGATGTTGCTAACACCTGCATTGGCGATAGAAAGCAAGCCTATATTATATTCAAACTTTACAAGTAGAGCGAAGCGGTTGAGAAATGAGAGTTTCATTGTCGACATACAAGAACTATCCCCACATTCCTAAACCCTAAATACTAAAAATTAATGGCTTCAAATCGTAGTTTTGACATAGACATGTTCTCGCACTCCAAATGCCAGTTTACTCAGCCTAAGTGGTACTCACAGCACCACTTACGACTCTTACATTGAAGCACAACTCTAAACTCGTACACATCGCTAAGATATTTGATAAATCTAGCGACTTACGTTTATTTCTTTCAAATGATCATTCGAAAAAAAATGAACACCTCATTCTGACTCATGGTATGCGCCAAGCAAAGCCACATGACCCAGACTTCAACTTACACGAATAAAGCTTTTTTAGTCGTTATGGAAGTTAAAACTTTTAACAGCAAAAGCAGGCTAGAAGACTTACGATAAGTCAAATCCAATCTCTTTGACCATTCATGAAGTGCTTTGTAAAGTTTCATTAACCTGAAGACTCAGAGTCTTTGTCATATGTTCCAGAACCAGGTTAGTGAACTGATATCTTACTTCATGTGAACTGAACATTGTAGTTCAGGAAACATTTCATTAGCTGGTTAAAGACAAAACGTTCCTTGTCATTCAGCCTTTCAATCATGCATGGAAATATGCCAACTTCATTTAATGCATTCTGAGTAATCTATTAGCTAAGGTTTCTTTTCACAAAATATTGACTTGTATGCTAAAAACTTTGTTTTCCAGTGGGTCTTAATTCTGCCGAAGTCATATGGAAATGACCAAGTTTACTTTTAGAAGGTTTCCTAGCACGATTCCTAAACTCTTCAAGCTTTCGAGGAAATTCTTCATTGACTAAATATGTGCCATCACAAGTGCCTGTAATCTAATATTATAATGTCCATGTCCTGGTCTCAGCAGTACAACACTACTTCACACTTATGGCTTTCGACCATGTGAAGATATATTAACACCAAGTGGACAAGTTAAAGTGTTCGCAAAGTGCTTTTCGAGTTAGCCTTAGAAAATAGTTTTATCTGAACCATCCAAACCTTCGAACTTCACATTATGTGTTGTAGTTCTTTGATGGACATAACTCTTATAGCTGCCTTGTCATCTACTATGGTTTTTTCCACAATCAGGAGATGAATAGTTTTGCCATAAATACTGTTCAAGAATGAAGTTTTATTTTTTCTGCAAAGGATTTCCTTCTTTCTTATACTTTAACCTGAACTCAAACAACTTCTTTACTTCATCTTTCTTATGTCTAAGTATCTCGTTTCCATCAGTAATAGTATCCTTGCCAACACTATCAACATTTGACACCTTGAATATTTTATTGAGGTCTTGGTAAGTTATCATTTGGGTCAACATTACATAGAACAGCCAAGTGTTTGAAC